GGCCGCCCACGACTACAGCAGCAGCCTCTTCCACCCCGGCAGTTTCCTGGGGGGCCCCGCGTCCAGCTTCACCCCCAAGCCGCGAAGCAAGGCCAGGTCCTGCTCGGGTAAGTGTTGCAGCCCCTGGCCTGCCCTGTCACCCACTGGCCGTGTCCCCAGGGTGGAAGGGCCGAGGTGAGGGCTGTGCTGGCTGTCCTGGTTGGCTTTGCTCGGGGGTGAGGCTGCTGCGAGGTTGGGTGTTCGTGTTGGCCCTCTTTGGGACAGAGGGGAAGGTGGCTGCTTGGTCCTCATTTTTCTGAGTCTTTAGCTGGGAGATGGAGTTCACACCAGGCTTCTGTGGGTGCCAACACAGCCACGGTGGCCCCTGAGTCGCTGGGCACCAGCCCCAGGGCCCTCGGATGGGGCTGAGGGACAAGGGGACCCGTGCAGTGTGAGTTGGCAGATCGAGTTGTACAAAGAGGGATTTATATGAGAAAAAAAAAAGTTTCCCTCAGAGAAAAGCTGGGTCAGCCACCCAAGGGGCTCAGGCCTGACCCTGCTCCCCCATATCAGTAAAACTTCCCATGGCTTCCATGTGGGGACTTTCTAGCGAGAGGTATTTCTCCCTCAATAATTACCATGTCTCTTCATTAATACGAACCAAGGCCCCAGCGCAGGATGAAAGTGAAACTTACCCGGCCAGTCCTCTTCGAATCGCAGAGGGCCTTATTTCCTTCAGCTTTTACAGGAGCAAAAGTTCAAATATAGTTTACATACCAGTGCAAAAGACTAAGGTGTCCAGTCATCGCTAACTTACTCCAGCCTAACTTGAACTAGAAAATACCCCTTTTTTTTCCCCCCCCTCAACCAGACATATCTCTGCATCCAAATGACTGACTGCAGACCTGTGTTCACAACCCTTCTTTGCATTTCTTCCTAAAAGTGCAGTCCCAAATCAGCAAATTAGGTGATGGACAAAGTTTTGATCTCACTTTGAAATCACGGTAGTTGTACAACTAGACAAATTAAGGCAATCTGTGTAATTCTACTAACCTTCCTGATTTAACATCCTCAGCCATGGAAGGAAATGAAATATGGTGTATTGGGACTGAATTTAGAGAGCCCTTCAAGAATAAATGGCTGTATATGCTTTAATGTGTGTATTCTTATATATCACTGCACATCTATGCTTATGAATACACCACATGCATTTATTTTTAAAGTAGACAATAATTTAGAAATGTGATATTTTGAGTTTTGCAACAAAAATATGAGCTATTTTACAAGCTTATCAGCACTGTTTCAAATGGCTCCTCCGAGGGGAAAAACGCACCCTCCCTCTGCCATTATTTAAATGTAGTTGCTACTATGTATATGTATTTTTATATATATATTTTTTTTAGTAATACAGAGAGTAGTAAGTCAAGGCAATTAGCAGCCTGAGCCTCCCAAGTCTGGAAACAGATTCCAGACCCAGATCTCTGAAGATAAAGGGATCTCGAGTAGCTTTTTTATTTTTGTCCTGTAGTTGCCGATGATTTTATGAGATGGGGGAAGTAAGGAGCTTTTTTTTTTTGTTTTGTTTTACGGGTTTTTTTTCCTGTAAGGGAGCCCCCTGTGCAAGGAACTGGGGAAAGTTCGTGACCACTCAGTGTTTTTGTAGGAAAACTAAGACTCACGACACGACGACTCCTGCAGCTTCCTGCCCTAGGAGGGACAAAAGCTACAAATGCAGCGCCGCAGAGCTCCCCTCATTTTTCACTGTAGACTGTGTTGTTTAAAAGCCACCCACTCCCTAGATTAAAGGAGACACAAGCCCCGCTGAACTCAACGTGGCCTGCTTCAGTTATTAGCAAAAAGAATTTCCTCTCCAGTTAAATACTGTAGGATTTGCATAAACTATATTAAGAGAGATTTCTATATTAAGCAGACCTGCCCTCGAACCATCAGAGGCAAATGAACTTTTAGCAGAGAGCTTTCTGAGGCAGGAACAGATATCTAGGAGTTACATGCTGGGTTTTAATAGAGCCATTCTACAATGCCATGCTTCCCCCATTGTGCTACTAAAACTAATAATGAAGCAGTAATAAGGTAAATGGTTCCCTACCAAACCCAAACTGTACTGTTGAAAAATCACAGAAATAGAAAAGAACTGAAAGCCTGTATTTTACAGTAATTTCCAGAGTGCTCGCTGAAACTGAACTTTCTCAAAGATCAGCATTAACAGCGTTTTTCTGCCTTTAGAACAAAAATCCTAACTGAGCCTTTGGCATTCTGCATCCATTCCCAATCTGCTCGGCTTGAGTTTCTCATCCCATTGCATTTACAACAAAAAGGAAAGCATAGAAAGGGATGTCTTTTTGCTTAGATTTAATTTTAGAAAACCTCTTCCTTTGACTCTCTCTTTAACGTGTTGTGTGTTTGCAGGTGTGTGTGTGTTTGTGTACATGTGGAGGTGTGTGTTTGTGGCAGGAGAACACAGGATCTGACCCTCGGAGTGCAATAGATATGGGAGGGGAGCGGTGCCCAGTGCAGATTAAGGGAGTTCTCATTACTGAAACGATGACTTCCATCTGACACAATAAGAGTGTCACTCTCACCTTGCGCAGAGAGCTGCCTCTTTCAGATCATGATATAAAATACTCACCGGAGTCTGGGTGTTCTCGAAACACTGAGCTCCTTGCTGCATGTGCTGTAGATGTCACTGCTGTCTGATTGTGCTTGAATTAACACACTGTTTTGACTTCTGGAAAATGCCTAAAGGACAATGCAAAAAGCTTTTGTGAATTTGTTTTTAAAGAAAGAAATCCGGTTTCTTCGTGTTTCCATTTAGAAGGCAGAGAGTGTGTGAACTGTGGAGCAACTGCTACCCCTCTCTGGAGAAGAGACGGCACCGGGCATTACCTGTGTAACGCCTGCGGGCTCTACCACAAAATGAACGGTCAAAACCGACCTCTCATTAAACCTAAACGAAGGCTGGTAGGTGTCTCTGTTTCTCCTGGGTTTGGGGATAAATTAGGCAAAGGGACCACACGCAGGCGAACGTGTCTCATCCCTGCGCGGAGCCGAGCTGTACTGTACACGGGGTCAGTCACGTCGAGGTCACTGCCGTGCCTCGGGGCAGAGCTCCCCCAGCCCCGGCATCCCCGGCACAGACCACCGCGCTGCCGCAGCCCGCCGAGCGCGTCTCCATCCCCAGCCTCCCTGCCGCTCACTATACATGCGGGATATCGTGTATCGTCTCCCCGTTTATCCTCAGATAACAGCTTTTAATTTAATTCCTCATTTATTTGGCCTCTTGGGATATTTTTGGGCACATACTGGGAGCGAAAGGGTTATGAGCATGTATGTTCTCCACCGTGTACTAAAAAAAACGGTCCAGCTCCAAAAAGCAAAACAAATCAGATGAGTCAAAGCTACTGCTCCCTACTTAATAATTATTTGTATAAAAGCCATGAAGTAATTTTCACTCTTATATTCTCTGGCAATATTAATATTGGTTCCCTCCCCAGACAATCCCCTACTGTTTAAAAAAAATCCTATTATTTTTCCATGGAGTCACCTATACTTTGTATTTTCATTTGAGTGATTTAAAAAAAATGTCCTTTCTAAGCTCCTGGTAGTAGTTTCCTATCCGGATATCTGTACGTTAAAGATAAGGAAACTTTGTGTATCTGTTTCCTGACTCTAAAAGCTTTAGAGAGTTTCTATAGGCAAGCCTTGCCAGTCATGCTTGCTGTTTTGAAATTTCTAATACACTCTACTCCACAAATAATGCGTAAAATGCTAAGAATAATAAATATATTTTTTTGAGCTTTGTGATTTATGGTGCCTAAGTCCCTTAGCTATTCATGGGCACGTTTCAATGAGGTTTGGAGAGCAGAAAATTGGCATTACTGCTCTAACACTGGGATGGGATACAGAAGATTTCTGTCCTGAGTCAGAATTCCAACTATGCAAGCTCCTTAATGACTTGCCTTCTAAAGTGACTGACATATAGAAAAATGTTAAGACAACAGTGTAACATTATCGTCTCTCAGGCTCAAGGCTTTCCAGTCTGAATGGAACAGGCCATAGAGTTAAGCAGCATAGTTGAATATCAGTAAGCCATCTCAAATATGCAAACATAGGTCTCCACCTTCCAGTGTGTTGGGAGACTGTTATACTTAGCTCAGTGTGAGGGGTTTGGGGGGCACTAGAGAGGTTTTCTTTTAGTTTAGTTGTTTTAATGTTTTGTTTTAATTGATTTACAGCTTTGTTTATTGCCCCTTTTTCCACTGGAGTTTGCTTGTTTGCGGGGGAGAGGGGATGGCCATCTTTGTGAATTTGTTCATCTGACATGCAATAGCAAAGTGATCATATTAATAATGGCAGTGTTTGGAAGTCTGGCATTAATTGTGTTTGGGTTGCATGAGTCTACTTGCAGTAGGGGGTACCCCCTCTTTCTGCCTTTGGCCTGTTCTCACAGGACTGAAATATATGAGTCTCCCAGGGCCTGATTCTTGCCTTAAGCTGCCGAGCCATCCATCAGCTTTGGGAAAGTTACAGAGAGCCATGGTGTAAATCAGGAGCAAGTGAGAACAGAACCCGATGCTCCTCTTTTGTGAACCGGGTCAGTCTGTGCTTCGAGCGGCACCAGCTCCCCAGCGGAGCTTCCAGGCAGGGAACTGCACAGAGTTCTTGTCCGGGAAACCCACCGCTCTGGGACTCTGCTCTCCGAGATGCCCCGCACGTTATCGTGAGCTTCGCTGCTGCTTCACCCTATGGCTCTCAGTGGCTAATTGCAAAAATACCCAGGGAGCAAGGCCCCGGGGAAATTAACACGATTGATATGCATTAGAAAGTAAACTCTGCTAATTTAAGAAAAGAAAATATTGAGTCCTCAGCATTAATCCAATTGCACAAAATGGACTGTATTTTAAACACGTCTAGAGGCAGGGTTGAAGCTTTCTAATACAAAATTATTTTCCAAACTACAGGGTGTGATTAGTTCCTCCCTAACACTTTATAGGATCGCATGCTGGCACAAAGAACGTATTATTGCGGGGTCTGCTAGACAAGGGCCCATCCAGAAATTACTGGCTGCCTGCTCTTCTACTTTTCCTGTTCTTGTTTTGGGAAGTGGGCAAATGTTTGGGCATTTTTCTTTCCCCCCAACCTTAGTTTCAGTAGAACAATAGTTTCAGAAAGGGTGGTGGATTTTGGGCGGTGGGGGGGTTTTTTGCCCCCCCCCCCCT